CTCGACTATTTCCGTAGTGGCCTATTGGGAGCTGTGGTGCTCAGCATGCTGGCGAGATCCGAGTCGCGACGACGGGGCGAAAAATGCGTTGCACCGTGCGCGCTGCACCTCGAATCAGGAGCTCACTTGCTGGACGCAAGTTGCACGCAAAAATCCTATAGTGAGCAGAATCATTTTACTGGAAAGTGTTGGGTGCACCAAAGTAGTTTGAGCGTCTCTTCAGTCTAAAAAACCGTAACTAGGATTACTTAGCTGTGGTCCTGCGACATCACATTAACGGTTACGATCACAAATGTGCAAAAAACTCAGTATCTTCCAGAAAAATTGAAAATGTGAGATATGGGAGCAAGCATGTCATTCCGAGGAGAAGCGTCCCGGAATACGACCTTTCTCTAATATCTGTGGAGGGCGGGGAGAGGGAGATGGGCAGCAAAGAGTAGTCCGAGCAACTATCAGGAATGATACAGTCATGATCCCTGCAAACGACAGAGTGTGTGACAAGAGTTCTGGCTGAACCGCAGCCAGAGTAGCCCTCTCCGCCTGTTGCGAACTCAAGATGGCATGAGTAGTGGTAAGGCCGCCTCGGCAACACTTCAATCCAAGACTCGTCACATCCCATCGTTTGCAGGAATCATCAGTGTACAACTGCGGCGCACATACTCTATGAATAGTAAGAGTTACTGAAAAAAAATAAAAAATTGTACTATATTTGCAGATCCAAAATACACTTTGTCAATGTGCGTAAAACCCATGTATGGCAGTGATACGAAATTCCTGCTTTTTGCTGAATACATTGAACATTATAAACTGCAAGGTGTCCAACATTTTTACATTTATGTGAAGGATGTGGACCAATATACGAACAAGGTTTGCAGTACTTCACATAGTAAATTAATCATTCAATTGACCAATAATCAAGAGGAGGTAATAACTGGGATGGGCTCAAAAACAGTTTCATGCTGCAATACCGTCCTGTGCTCTTCACACTGGATAGTTATTTCCTGCCATAAATGTTTAAGTTTTGGAAAATGCGGGCTACTACAATGCGTGTGTGGCAGCGCAGGGAATTCGCAATGACATGCTGAACGCACTACAATCGGGACGAGTGCTCCAAAGTTATAGAGAGCTATAGGCGCGAACGCAGCCACAGGCGGCCACTAGCGATCGAAAGCAGTCTGGTTGACTAGGCAGCAACTCCATCGTATCCCCATACTCGCGACTGCGTTCGCATCTATACCTTTGGAGCGCAATTGTAGTTGTAGCGCGTCGACGCGCGTCATCGCGAATATGGAGGCTGTCTTGCCTACCGGCGTAACCTCGGCAGTAAAAACCACCTCGCACTATCCTACGTAATATTAGTTCTTATTAGTACTATTTTTATTTTTTATTTTTATTATTATTATCAGTG